TACTCTGCGGGTGGTCACTGTAAGCCAATCTGTAAATCCTTATATATTGTTTATCTTGTATTATATCTGTTCTTCTTGTAAGCACTGATACAACTAGAAAATATGTTGATGGTATTTTTATTATTATCCTTACAGTCCAGATAATTTCTCAGTGTATTTTGCCTATGGATAATTCTTTTATTCTCTACATAACATAGAAGTTGGGTCTACTTTTCCCTCTTTCAAGCCATAGTATTGATTTTTTTCTTTCCAGTAAAAACACTCTATGATCTGACAATTCCATGCATAGATATGAACTCAAGAGAAGCAAGGGCAGCTATCTACATAAAGATTTGTATGCAAGTATACACAGCACCATCATTTATAGAGTCAAACACAGGAAACAACACAAATATTCATCAAAGAGCGACTGGATAAACAAAATGTGGTGTTTTAGTAGCAGGGAATACCAATCAGTAGTCAAAAGGAACTAGATAGTAATAGATGTAACAATACAATGACCCTAAAAGACTGCACAGTCTAAGGCGGTGGTGACAAACTATGGCACATATGCCACAGTGGGCACGCAAAGCCCTCTCCATTGGCCCTTGAACCAAGTTACCCAGTAGCTGGGCATCAGATAATGGCTATTTTTCTAAACTAAAATCTCAGTAATCAGCTTTAATTAAAGTGTTGGCACTTTGCGATAAATAAGTGGGTTTTAGGTTGCAGTTTGGGCACTCCATCTCTAAAAAGTTCACCATCACTGCACTAAGGGAAAGAAGTCATATGCAAGAGCTTTTGTATTGTGTTGTAAGACTCCATTTATGTGGAATCCTGTGAAAGGCAAAACTACAGAGACAGACAGCTCAGCAGTTGCCTGGGCTGGAGATTGACCTCAAATGGGCATTTGGGGGATGTATTTTGGGTGACAGACAAAATTAAACAGCCATAATACTTACATGATTTTTCATTTACTAGCAACCATCAGACTGTACACTTACAAAAGATAAAATTTATGGTTTATAAATTATGTGAATTAAGTCAAAGAACAAAAAACAAATACTTTTTTTAAAAAAGATATTGCCTCCAGATAAAGATTCTGTCCTAAAAAACTAGAAGTTATTTTGATAACTGAACTTGACATTTACTAAGTTGACTTACTGACATTACGAATTTATTTTGGTGTGCTAGTTGTCTTAGTTACGTTCTCCTTGCCGGGACACAATACCTGACACTCATAAGATAAAGAAGGACCGGTTTATTTTGGCTCAACCATTTGTAGAAGTTTCCATAGTTTGTAGAAGTTTCCATAGTTGGCTGGCTCCAAGGCAGGATGGCATGGCAGAGCAGAAACAGCTCCTGGCTTTGAGGCAAGAAGCAGAGAGAGATCAGGGAGGAGGAGGGACACAGAACCTTCCTGGCCACACCCCCAGCAACCCATCTCCTCCAGACATCACAGTTAGCTATAAACTCACAGTGGGCTCATCCCCTGATGAATATCACACCCCCATGATCCAATCACCTACCCAAATCCCCACCTATGTGCCCATGAGGCTTTGGGGGAACATCCAGATATCAACCATAACACTAGTTTAAATCACTCGTGACAAAACCTGGGCAGCAAAAGAACAGCATTATTGAGGGAATGAGTCAGGCTTCTTCTGAGAGGGGAGGAAGGAGGAGCAGAAGGTGACAGGTGCTACCAAGCTCCAGAGAAAGCAGGGACATCTAAGGTGGAAGAAAGCAAGAGCAAGGAAAGGTGTATCAATTCTGAATTACATCTGAAAGCTGGGTAAGGAGGGTTAGGGCGCTTCTTCAGGACTGTCTGAAAAGCATAGGTCCACAACCCACTTCAGAGTCTGAGCAACAAGTCAGGGGCTTAGTCACAGAACCACAAGAGGGAATTCTAGGTTTATGACGCTACACCAAAATTCCACCAAACGTTACTGATGCAAGTATACTCATGAAAGGTCATGAGTACTAATTCTAAACTTATGAAATGTAATTCTTATTGATACAGAGCCTAAGAGTTTCTGAGCTCAGTGCTCCAAATCTGTAACTTGCATAGGGGGTCTATGAGGAAGGCAAAAGTAATGCTCTTTTCCTTGGCACCTGGATGGTCAGAAAGTTTTGTGAAGACTTTGAATCAATGTTTAAGGGGAATTCCCAGCTAGCCACAGAGCACTGCTTCTAATCTTTGTGTGCAGCCAGATTGCATGATCAGGAATGGTAGTGGACAGGCAGCCATGCATTCTTTCTTCAGTCCTGCTCATTTGGGTTTGGCTGGGAGGACTACGTTTCTCTCTTCCTTTGAGTTTCTAGCCCTGAAGAAGCTCATCTGGGCCTCCCGATCTTAAGGGGAAGCAGAGCCAACTCAGCTGGCTCAAAATGAGATCATGTGCCCTCATTTCTACAGCAGTGTGACCTGACATCCATTGAGCTCCCCAATGTTCAAAGATCGGTTTTGCTAATACGTACAAATACACTCAATTTACTATAAGATGCCAAAGTAAAAATTGTTGATGTTCTTTTACATTGGGCATTTTTCTAAGAAAAAAGACATTTAGAAATTAGCAACTTTTGTGCATGTGTGTGGGTGGGGAAGTGTTCTTTTATTTAGCATCTCCATCCTCAAAAACTACAGACAGAAGAAGAGATAGAAAAGACAGAAAACAGATATTATGAGCTTTTGGGGTGCAATGGTGGTTGAACTGGCTTCAGATCATAGCTTACCCCCACATCAAATGCTAACAGCAGTGGAGGGGACAGTGAAGAATTCAGTGGCTGCTGCAGCCACGCTGGGGCACACAAGGGCAGCCAAGAGGGCTGACAAGTGTCCATGTAGAGAACACCATGCTCTGTACTTGCACCCCAAGTCAGCTCAACACTAGAAGCGCCTTCTGTTTTCAGAAGCTGCACTGGCAAATGGAGAATCCTTGTCCTGTTAACCAGAGTTATGGAGTAATTGTTTTGGTTTCCCCTAAAATACACATTGACTCCTAATCCCCAATGTGTATATGGAGGGGGCCTTAGGGAGATAATTAGGGTTAAGTGAAGTCATGAGGAAGGCCTCCCATGGTGGGGTTAGCACCTTTTTAAGAAGAAGGGAGACCAGAGCACACACTGTCATGCAAGAACACAGCAGCAAGGCAGCTGTTTGCAAGCCAGGAAGAAAGTTCACTAAGAATTGAACCTGTTGACACCTTGATCTTGGGCTTCCCAGTTGAAAACTGTCAGAAATAAGTTTCTTTTGTTAAGATTCAGTCTCTGATATTTTATTATGATAACTCAAGACTACCAGACTGAGACAGAAATCAGAACTGAAAAATGGGATATTGCCAAAATAATGTCTAAAATCACGGGCGCAGCTTTGGAACAGGGCAATGCATTGAGGCTGGAATTTTGAGGTACACCCTAGAAATATGGCATGAAAGGCAAATCTGGTGATGGCTCAGAAAGAAAGGAGCTCAGAAGAGCCAGCATCCCTCTTCTTGGAGAATCTGCTATCACGAACAGAAGGTGGTGGAGAGGTAGATGGTAAAGGCCATTCTGCAGAGGCCCCGGGAACATGTTTTTAAAAACAGAAAAAGCAATCATTGCTCTAAAAGGGTAAGGAATTGGGTGGATTGCATTTGTGTCCTACAATTTTGTGGAAAGAACTTGCAAGTGAAGAGATGGGATCTTTAGCTGGATTTCTAGGCAGTGTTGAAGATGTGTCCAGTTCCTTCTGACTGCTGACACAGATGGTTATGGTTATGAGGATTCAACTTAAGATTTTAAAATTTTATGATCATGTGAAAGCAACAGGCATGCAGCAGAAACTGTGCTTGAATTTTGATCTTTTTCCAACTTAGCAATATACGATCTGGGCAGTGAACTGTGGCTTCCAGCCACAATCACGGGAAGCAACCAAGATTCTATAGTGTGCTGTGTTGCAAAGTGGTTTGGTGTAAGGAACACACTTTTGATGTAGGATCTTTTTTTTCAACGTACAGTGGCTTTATCAGGAAGTAACCACACGGCAAGTTGAGAAGCATCAGTATAGCAAAATGGGAGAAGAAATGACTTCAAGCCTCAATTATTAAGCAAAACAGAACCAGACCCTAAAGATTTGGAACATTCTCAGCCTGTCTATATTACAAAAAAAGCAAGAAATCAAATTGAGAGAGAACACTGGGAATGTGGCCAGCCAACCATGTGCTGCAGAGACCAACATGTGAAACACGGTCCTGATCCACCACTGGGACAGAAACCAGGAGCAGAGAGGGGTCACACCAGCAGCAATACTGCCATCCAGCAATGAACGAGACAGAAAATGAGATGGAAGGAAGGCTGCAGACATTTCTCATCTTCTGGGAAAGGAAAGCAAGACGCCAGAAGAATCTGCATGTCATCAGAGCTGCTACAAGCACTGCAGGTCCAAAGCACACCAGCCAGTGGTGAGGCCACTTCCGGCTGTTCCAAAGGGGACAACAGTGCTAGGCAGAAACCTGTGGGCAGCCCTCTGGAGGTAAGGTAGTGACAAGCCAAAGGGCAAGGGCCAACTCTTGAGCTACAGGGTGACTTTGCCACCCCCGTGGGTCTGCTGCTCCGGCGAGACTGGATCATCAATCCCAAAAGGATTACTTTTGAGCTGTAAGCTCTAAAGTTGGCACAGCTGTGAGGAAGCTGCCTGCAGGGAAGGGTGGGCCAGGTGTGTGCCAGTAACTGGGGACAGAGTTGGAAGGATGCCTACTTCAAGGCCACAAGGGAGAAAGCTGGTTTGGAAGATCAAGAGATCCAAGGCTGCTGCAGAGGGGTAGAGGCGGCACCATTCTGGGGCACTGACGTCCAGGGCCAGGTGTGGCACCAGGAGCCAGTGGGTGGAGGTGGCCTTGTGCTGGACACACTGAGATGCCCACAAGGTACTGTGGTAGCAACCTCTACTTGTTTGATAAAATATTTCAGGAAAATGATCCAAGTGGCACAGGGGAAGGCAAAAAACAAAAAACAAACCCAACCCATGTACCAAGCTTTTGTTTCTGAGAGAAAATGCTATTTTAATTAGGACTAACTTTAAGGCCTTAAATTCACATACATTTCTCACACTGTGACTTTTCACACAGGAAAGAGGTAATCAATCAGCTCATCAGGTCCAAAATGGTTCTAACAAGACTTCACCAAAACTTTATAGAAAAATAACATCACATTGTTGGCACGACAGTTGAGGACAAAGGGCCTGAAGGGCCGTGTCTGCTTCCTGTCCACAGTCTTGTCTCTGCTGCCAGACCTGGGGGCTCACATATGGCCCAGAGCACCTTTCCCTGGAGCTGCAGCAAGAATCTGGTTTGGCACATATTTTACATTTTATTTCACTTCCACATTTATAAATTCAGGAAACTATCTTGAGAAGGGGGAGGCAGCCTCTAAGAAAGGCCTGGCTCCATCCTCCCAGGCCTGGGCTCACGGGCATAGTACAGATGTGAGCACCACCAACTCTTGGGGATGCTGTCTTGTCACCTCTGTCAGCCAGGTCTGAAACAGCCACAGTGGCTCACTCCTCAGCAGGGCTGCTTCTGTGCCCAGAGGCACCTCAGGGGAGGGTTTATTGCTGGTGAACTTGGTTACCCAACTCCTGGCCACTTCATCCAGGATAGTGGCATGATCATAAAAGGGCCTAGGGGCAGTCACCTTGTGGAGAGGAGAAGACACTAAGATGGGTAAGCCCAAATGAATCCCATGAGGCTGCCATGCTGCCCCAATGTTTGGTTTCCTCCAGTTGCTCTGTCAGGCAGCAGATGTTCAGTTCTCTCCTCTGAGGAGAGTAAATGGTGGGGGGAGATGTGGGGAACTCTGCTGCCCACTTCGACAGTCACTTAAGACAAGAGGCATGGAGGCAGGACACGGGCCCATCCACAGCAGCCTCCCTCGCCATGTTCCTTTTTGGACCCCAAGTGTCCTCTGCTCAGGTGGAAAGAATCTACTCCCTCCTCATGTACCAAAACTATGCTAGATGAAAGAGGTGCTTGCCACACAAAGCTTCAGAAATGAGGACAAGTGTCACACGGCGTGGTTCTGAACAAATGGACCACTGGGACCACTCTGTGGTCACCACTGTCACTGGAACCGATGGCCACAGAAGTCCAGTTTGCCTTCATGATTACAGCAGTGCCAAAAGGGAGCCAGAGGTGTCATTCTATGACTCAGATTTGATCCTGCATGAGCCTTGGGAGTTTTTGCTGTGTCTCAGTTTCTCCATCTCTCCTTTGTTTGGTGCTCTTTGTTCCTGCCATTCACCAGTGACTGATGCGACCACTGGGTCTAGCCAGGATAGCCACAGGTATGACTCCCACTTAGACAACTCCTAATGCTATGTCACATCTCTTCTGGGAAATGGCAAGGGCCACTGGTGTTCTGTTGATACAGGTTGGGTGGGTGGAGCCCTCAGCATCTTACACCTAAGCCAGGCAGAGCTGCCAGGGTACAGCTTCACTTGCTCCTAGGACCAGACACCCAGGGAGTCTCTTAAGCAGGGATGTGACCGAGAAGTCATTCCTGTGCTCAGATCTCTACTGGTTATCCCCTGCACTAATAAAGACTCTGCATTCACAGATCCTACACATTAGTTTAGCAAAAAATCTGGCTTTTGATACCCAAAGAGTTTGAAGTCCCCCTCGAAGCGTGCATACAGCCGCCGGATATCCCGTTTACTGATGCCCAGGAAGTAGTTCTGGACCTTGGTTCTGTTATACACGGTAATGCCCAGAGGGATGGCTGGGTAGGACACCAGGTGGTCGATGCCAGCTTCTCGCAGGATGTATGGGGCATCCTCTTCCAGCGTCTCATGGTGTCCAATCACACTGTACTTGATCTCACAGGGTGCACAAAGTTCCACATATGTCACCCAGTGGATGATGTGGTCCCCAAACTGAAGGTCAAGCCACCTGTGGTTCGGGTCGCCCAGGTAGCGCACGAAATCTTCAAACTGGATCCCCCGGGTCTCCGTCCGGTTCCTCCTGTACTTCCGGATGATGCCCGGGGCAATCTCATGCTTGTACCACGGTTCAAATCGGGGATTGTGCACAAACTTGTCCTTAAAGGCAGAAATGAGTCGTTCGAAGGGATCTCTTACGATGAAAAACTTAAAGTATGTTTTCAATCTAGGGAAAACAATGAAAAAAACAAGTGGTTAACTTGATGCTCTTAGAGGCCACCACAGAAGGTGTTACAACTTATACGTGGATGTGCCCCCAAAGTCTCACGCACTCATAGGTGAGGATTTGGGGAGTGACTGGATCGTGAGTGATGCTGGATCATGGATCCGTGATACTGGATCAGTCCACTGAGATGGTTTAGCACAGTTCTGGCTGTGGATGATGGATTCACTGAAGAGAGAAGACCCATCCTGGGTGTGGCTGGCACCAACCAACAGGCTTATAGATTCAATGGAATAAAAAGGGAAAGAAATAAGGCCCTGGTACCTCCTGCCTGCCATGCCATGAACTGTTTCTCCTCTGCCAGGCCACTCTGTCAATCCACTCTGCCTTGGAGCCAACCAACTATGGATGGAAACCTCTACAAACTGTGAGCAAAAATAAACCTCTCTTCCTTTATCTTGTGGGTGTCAAGTATTTTTCCCATCAATGAGAAAATAACTGAGACAGAAGAGAGTGAAGCATCCCCTACCGATGGAACCCTTACTAGGCCGAGTTTGGTTGGGTCCATGCCTCTCTTCCTCAGACTTTGGCACAGATGTGAGAAGACAGAAGCTCAGAAAACTCAACTGTCCCAAGCCATCATGCTCTTCCTAAGTACTCCCTGGCAGGATTCTGTGTAATCAATGTTTTGTTGATGACTGGAATAATTCAAACCTTCAAGAACTTTTGTTAAGTTTGAAACTCTGAATAAGTCAGGTTTGACAGAGGCCACAGAAAGTTACTCTTAGGACTTTTCTTTTTCCCTCTTCTTTTTGCAGTGCTAGGGTTCCAGGACCTTTGTACTCAGCTAAATCCTCAGGTCTTTTCATTTCTGATTGAGACAGGGTAATCCTCCTGCCTCAGCCTCCAAATGCTGGATTATAGGGCTATGTCACCACACCTGGACTCATTCCTATTAGTAGGATTACATAAATATTAATGGATCATGAGGGTAAGGCTGGAAAAGGCATCCTGAGATTCTCACAAGGGCTCAAGTCTGCACCCACTTGGTGGGTGCTCAAAAACCACAACCAACAGTCCCATTCGTGGTCCTCAGAGTGAAGTGAGTTCCAGTTCACAGCAAGTACAAGCTGAGCCTAGGGCTTTATCACCCATTCTCCACGGGGTCCAGACACCCCCTTGTCCCTACTGCAGACCCTGCTCTTACCGCTTCTGGATCTCGGCCTTGCTGAAGGAGGAGAGGCGTGGGAGGCCGTTCTTCTCGTGGTCATGCACCACATTCTCTGGGATCTCTTCAATGGATGGAAAGGCTCCTGGGGAGGAAACAGGGAAAGGCACCCTAGTGCCTCAATGTGGCCTCTAAAGAAAGCTGCCATCTGTCTCATCTCGGTACCCATGTTTCCCAGGGCACCAGTGACAAGCCTATCCCCACATCCACACTTGTGCCTGAGTTTTAGCTGCTCCTGCTGGCAGCACAGAGAGGGGAAGACATGCATTAGGTAACCCTTGAGCCAAGTAGAGGAAGAGAGGATGTTGTGGGAAGGGAGAAGGGGAGGGAGTGGGGTAGAAATACTGACAGTGCCTACTCCTAGCAAGGCACCTGGGCTAAAGCTGCCACAAAAGAAAGCTGATACTCTGGGAGGCTGAGACAGGAGGATCCCATGTTTGAGCCCAGCCTGGACAACTTAGCAAGATCCTGTCTCCAAATAAAAAAGAAAAAGAAGGGCTGGGGATATCATTCAGTTTGAAGGCCCTGAGTTCAATCCCCATTACCACAAAATAAATAAATAAAATAGGAAGAAAGCTTAAGGCCTGGGAACAGAATTCCTACAACCAGTAACACCTAATTTCCTGATATCAGGGAGACACTAGAGGGACAGGCCTGCTGAATGCTGCGCCCACTGCAATGCCCAGGTCAGATGCCAGCCTGGGCTCTCACAGCACCCCAGCCCCAGGTTAGTGTAGGTTCTGAGGAACCCTCTGGGCAGCACGGCCTGGTGACTGGCAAAGGTGTTTGATGCTAGGAAAATCCAGCTACAGCTTCGGTGCTGTAGTCCCCAGGAAACAGTGGAGGACAGGCGTGCCACACGAGGTGGGGCAGCGTCAGCAGCCATGGTCTGCCGTCCAGAGCCGCAGACAGGGCTGAGGGACCCATCCCAGGGCTGAGAGGTGGGCAGACCTTTCTCCTGGTACAGACAAATGGTAAAAACAGTCATGATGCCAGAAAGGGTTTGGCCATGCCCCTTAACTCTTATTCTGTGCCAATCCTGCTGTTCTGGCACAGAAGAATCCCTCTTGGGGCATCTAAGAAGTGGCCACAGCTTTGCCTGTTTTATGCATTCATTCCTTCCCAAATAGTTAAGGCCCAGGCTAGAACTCTGTGGTATTGCTGTGGATGGCTTTGAAACAGCCCAGGCAACCACGGAGGAGCCAGCTTTCTGGGTCTGCAGATACATCTAGGTACAAGATCAACAGCCACCAGGACCCTGTGCCTTAGCACATGACCAGGCAAACCTGTTCTTTGTTTTGCTTGTTTTCCTTCTTTAAGAAAGGAGAAGGGGAACAGAGATTAGAAAAGCCCATGCTGTTTTAGAAATGAGCTAAAGATTTCTGAAAAGAAGATCTCCAGGAAATGGTGATTTGGATAACAAAGGGCTCTCAGAACCAGTTTGTTTTATTCTCACCAAGCATCTGACTGCAGCGGGCACTGAAGTGAAGGAAGTTCTTTTTTTTTTTAAGTCTGAGACAGGATCACACTGTGTATTTCAGGCAGGCCTTGAACTCCCGATGTAGCCCAGGCTGCTCTCAAACACACAGCCGTCCTCCTACCTTGGCCTCCGGAGTGCTGGGACTGCAGGTGTGCACCACCACACAGGGCTCAATTTAATTTTTAAATGAAATATGAAACTACAAAACCTACACACATCAGTGGGGCAACAAGTGGTGTGCACATGCACGTGCACACTGTGACCTGCTCCTGCTTCATCCTGTCCTTGTAAGTGGGTGTTTACTCTTTCTGACTCAGGGTGCTTCCCACTGCCAAGGCCAACTTGTGGGCCTTTCTGTATACTCCTTGCTTTCAACTGATTGGTAACCTCGTTCTTAGATTCAGAAACCCAACATGCTGCTGTATTTTCTTCCCCAGTACCACAATGGAGTGGGCACATGGTGGCCAACACTGACCAGCAACCCAGAGAGCTGCTTTGGGAGCTGTGGGCAGGGGAACAGAACTCCTGGGCCAACAGCCTGCAGCACCTGGCTCTGATTGGACCAGGCATTCTACTGCCGTGGGTCGGAGTGAAGTTCTTTTGAAGGACACTTTACCAGACAGAACCTCTCATTATCCCGGATCAGTGCAGACTAATTGGAGTTTAAACAAACAAACCTGGTGTCTGGGAAGAGCTGTGAGTAATCAGAACTGCAGTGTTTGCTGTCACTTTTCTATGATCTCCCTGGTTTCTGGTAAGCATCACATTTCCTAAATCAAGCCAACTTAAACCTCTGAACATAATGAAAAGAAGGTGCAATTTCTTTCTACCCAACAAGCACAGAACTCTGTAGGTGAAGGACCCCAGGCACAACCAGCAGGGTAGCAGGGTCACCTGGGGTGGGGTGGAGCTTTTCACTACAGAGGGACGAGGAGGGGACCAGCACAAAGGATCAACAGGATCAGAACAAGGATCAGTGGGGTGGGCAGGCTGGTCAAGGTAGAGATCCCACTGTGAAAAGTGAGGCGGCCCTAACCTTGGCCAAGAGCCTTTGAAAATGGTCAGTGTCTAAATTAACCCCACTTAGTGCTGGAAGTGTAGCTCAGATTCAGGGGCAGAGAGCCTGCCCAGCATACACAAGGATTTGGGGTGATCCCTGTATGGTGGAGGAGAAAGGTGGGGGGGAGAAGAGGAAGAAGAAGAGGAAGATAATGAAGAATAAGAGGAAGAAGACCAGAGAGGAGGAAGAGGAGGAACAGTAGGAAGACAAAGATGAGGAAGAGGAAGAAGAGTCAAAAAAGAAAATAAATTAACCCCACCAAGTTTTAAAGTATAGCACTGTTAGGGAAAACCCAAAAACTTCCTGGAAGGTTGCTGGACCTTTCAGGAGGACCCCTTTCCTCTGAGCACTCTCCTCATCCCTATCCCCCAGCCAGACCCCCGAGGTCCTTGACTGATGTCCTCATCAGCACAACGTAGCACACGCACCATTGAGGACAATCAGCACCTTCTTCCACTGTGTGTTGCCTACTTTGGGAGTCTGGCAGAAAAGAATCTTGTGCTTGTCACAGACAAATATTCGGTCCAGGACAAACTTGGAGATGGCTGTGTGCGAGAGGTTCCTCAGGGCCTCGTCCCTGCAGACATTCCGGATGAGCTCCAGGCGCTCCAGGTAGACCAGGGGCTGGACAGGCCGGCTATCCACAAACATCTTCCCTGTCGGCTGCGGTGATAAGCGGCAGAAAGAGGACAGGGATTTCGGGGAGGAAACAGGTGCCACTCCCACTGGCCCATCCTCTTCCCTCCCTCCTGTTTCTACAGAGTGACTGTAGAATAACTACTTCTGGAAGCCTCTCTCCTCCAGGCCCTGCCACTTTGGTGGTGAGTTAGACAGGAATCAGGACCATGGCCCAGTCAGCGATGTGCACCTAGTTCTGGTGACTTCCTTCTGGAGAGAAGCTGACTTAAAAACTAGAAAAGATGGGGAAAGGACAGTATGCACCTCTGGGGCTGTTTGGTACCTGGAAGAATCTCCCCAACACCAGGGACTTTAGCTGATGCTCAATCCTAGCTCCTCCTGCTCTGGGGGTGGCACACTAGCCACACTTGCTGAGTCTTGCTGTTAGGGTCTGGGGGAGACACCCAGAACAACCCAGCTGACGTGTGTGCGTGTGTGTGTGTGCGTGCGTGTGTGTGTGTGTGTGTGTGCGTGTGTGTGTGTGTATGCTGGAGATAAAAGCAGAGGGGATGGACAGGGGACACACCAGAACACACTGCTGTTTGGTGAATTAAAATTGCTATCACAGCAATGTGTCTGCCCCAGACATCAGCCAGTTCTGAGGCAGTGAGGCCGTGAGGCCGTTTCCCAGACCCCACTCCTCTGCCTGTGGCCCAGAGGTTTCTGAAATGCTTTGCTGCTACCTCGACATCTTCCCTTAAAACTACCCTGAAGCCCAAACTGAATCCAGATCAGGAGCAGGACGCCAAGGGTCGATGCCTCCAAACAAGTTCTCTAGCAACTGCAGAAAAGCATCTATGGCTTGCAAATTTGGCTTTTCTTTGTGCTCAAGCACTGAATACAAAGAAGAAACTTCTCATTCAATTGTGTTTACCAAGTAGCATTGTTTTCTGTCTTCCCTCCTCACAACCTCAGCAAATACAGAAAACCCATCTTAATTACTGATATGATTTTTTACTCTTTTCCCATTCAAGCATTCAGGCATAGGATGCACAAAATAAATCTGAAAGGAAACTATGGAACCTGGTTCCCTGAATCAGTCACCTTGCTGGTGGGAAACATGCTGGCCTGCACTACTGTGTAACAATTCCTGGGCCCAGTGGACTTTACATAGAACTCATTTCCTCCACTCTGAAGCTGGGCTGCTGGAGAATCAATAGGACCCAGTAGGAAGAGAATACAGGGTCCAGAACCAAGACCACTACCTCCTGCCCATGACATGGAGGGCCAGTGAGCAAAGACCATACGCCTCGTGGTTTCCAATCACATATTGAGAATAAAAATACCTAAGTCTCAGAGGCCTCCACCAAGAGACCATTAAACTAAAAACTCAGCACAGTGCTCTGCAAACCATGAAGCACATTCTACTGCAGTCTCTCCACCCATGATTGCTCCTGCAAGCCACCAGGATGCAAAGTGCTTTTCTGCAGCGCCCTCATGGGGACTGTGGCACAAAAATTCGTACCCTGCCTCTGTAGTACTCTTTATTGTTGCAACTAAACATTTGCTTCCTTAGCTCATTCTATTGAAACCTCCCTCCTATTCTCTATTGGTGTTGTTTCTTGTCTCTGGAGACCATCTGAATTCTTTTCTTGGCCTGGATGCCTCCACCAGGAGGCAACATTCCTGGGTGTCCAAAAAAGAGTTCTGCAGACTAGACATCTATTACATCGACATCTGAAAAAGCACACCCTAGCCTCGCTCTCCTCTGACCAGGGGTGCTTTCCACTCTGGGCTTGGATTTGCCATCTTACACTGTGAACCATGGACAACTGGGTTTAACTCCAGGCTGATGAACATCTTAGGGCCTTAGTAACCTCCACCTTCCAGTCTCAGGATGGGGTAGCAGGTGAGAACGAGCTTTATGAGCACACCCCTCATCCTGGACAGGGAAGCAGGAGGAACTTATGTATAAAAGGGGCCTGTAGGGGAGATGTGGGGTAAATGTTATGGCCGGTGAGAGCTGGGGAAAGCGGCCACATTGGGCTCTGCCTGTGACCCCACATGACTCCAGGCACTAGCCTTGTCCCCAGAATGGGCTCCTGCATCCACACAGCTCAGAGGCCAGATTATCTCTCTGCTGTCTGAGGGCCCTCCTCTCTCCAAAATCCCATGGTTCTGGGTGAGAGACCTTTTCACACTCCCAGTTTTCTCCTGACCTTCCCAACATCCTCCTTCTCTCTGGCCAGGCTCATGCTCAGCTGGCCAGGAATTAGGCAAAACCTTTACAGATCCTCCATGAATAAGGAATATAAAATAAATGTGACCTTGTGCCTCCCTAAAAGGAAACTAAAGGTGAACATAAATATACAGAAATAGCAAAGGCAGCCACAGGCTGAGTATCCCTTATCCAAAATGCTTGGGACCACAGTGTTTCAAATTCCATAGTGTTTCTGGATTTTGGAATATCTGTGTATACATAATAAGCTCTTTACACAAGCACATATTTCATCTAGCTTCATATGTATCTTAGACACACAGGCTGAAGGTAGCTGTATATGATATTTTATACAATTTTACATATACTAAATACAAAGCTTTGTGTTGTGGAATCACCCACCAATGGCATCCTGTCAGAACTAGGAAAGTCTGGGATTGCGGAGCATTATGGATTCTGGATGCTCAGCCCGTGCCACGGAGCAGGCAACAGTGACAAACAGAAACTACTGCAGGTGACAGCACAGATCGGGGTGGGGACACTGTGCGGGGGGGGGGCGGGGGCGGCCCTGAGGACAGCTGCATTCATGTCACAGGGGACTGGGTTTGTACTCACCTTCTGTTCTCCAGGAGAGTGCTTCTCTTCTGCCAGCCTCCCCACTTCCGGCAGAGTTGTCAGGAACAGCAGCTCCTGTTTGGCACTGTATCCTAGAAAACAGAGAGGTTAAGGTGTTTTCTCAACGAGGCACAGGCACACAGATGGATGGGACAGAGCGCAATGCCTGGATGACATGTGCAAGCCAACTGGAGGACAGTCTGCCCAGAAAACTCAGCTGGAGCAACTGGATATCTGTAGCCCAAAGGGTGAGGCTTTATCTACACTTCACGTCTTACTCAAAGATGAACTCAAAATGAATCATAGGTTTAAATATAAAATGTTCAGCCCTCAAAGTTTCACAAAACAGCATAGGAGAAAATCTTTGGAAAAACTGAACTTCATTAAAACTAAAAACTTGTGCATTGTTGAAATTCTTTCTGAGGAGGATGAAAAGTCAAATGACAGGAAGACAGTATTTATGAACTACGTATCTGACAAAAGACTTGTATCTGTAGTATAAAAAGAACTGTCAAAATTCAACAGTTACAAAGCTAAGCCAATTAAAAACTGGGGAAGGTACACACGGGTATTTCCTGGAAAGGGATGTATGAAGAACAAATAAACTCAGGAAAAGATGTCCAAGGTCACTGGCTATTAGGCAAATGCAAATTAAAACTACAAGGGGACCTCACAATGCACCTAGCAGAACAGTTTCGATAAAAAATACTGACAATGCCAAACAGTGATGAGGATGGAGAAACCTGAACACTTACATAACGCCTGAGGGAATGGAAAAGGGTACAGCTACTCTGGAAAAACAGCAACTTGGGGGAACACCCCCCCCCCGCCCCCGCGTGCAGTGACCACATGACCCAGCACCTGAACTGACAGGCAGTTAATCCAGAGGAATTAAAATTCATATTTGCACAAAGACCTGTATACAAATGATTGTAGCAGCTCCATCTGTAATATCCCCAAACTGAAAATGTCCTTCAACACATGGATGGTTAACAGGCATGGAATACAACGCAGCCATAAAACTGAAAGATCCACTGATACAAACAAGTTGGGTGAATCTCCAGGGAATTATGTTGAGTGAGAAAAGCCAATTCCAGAAGGTTTTATATACATAAAACATTCTGGAAATGATAAGATTATGGAAAGGGGAATGGACTCGTGGTTGTAAGGGCGTGTAATGAGGGGGATGGGTGTGGGTGTGGCTGGGAAGGACAGCAGGATGGATCTCCATGGTGATGGAAACATTCTGCATTTTGACTGTATGGACACCAATGCCCTGCTTCTGGTACTGTGCTGTCACCTTGCAAGACGCTACCACTGGGGGAAGCTGGGTAAAGGGAATCCAGGACCTCTCTGTGTTATTTCTTACAATGGGTCGCATTCCACAATGATCTCCTAATAAAAAGTTTAATTTACAGAAAGCCAATCAGCAGTCAACTTCAGTGCTTTCACATTAAAGAAGTCATGAGATTCAAAATCAGGCCAGAGGAATCCTAAATAGTTGCCCAGAACAATAACATAACAATCCTGATTTTGCAGAAGCCTTTGGGGTAGAACTTGAAGGTCATCTTCAGCTCTCTTGTCAACAAAGAAACATTTACTTCCAAAATTTTGCAAAGTCTCATAATTAGAAAAGGAGGTATCAAATAAAAGTATAAAAATTGATCATACAAAAGCACGTTTCATTTTAAAAAATCAAAACCTCCTCCTCTTGGGTCATTGACACCCACACACTGCCTGTGCACAGTTGCACGCCTGCCTGAGTTTGGCTGTTAGACCTCTGCCCCCACCTGACACACAGCATCTTCCGCCCACCATATTCCTTCCTTCCCTCTGCGAGGGTAGAAAGGACCTACCAGTGAGTGCTCTGAGGATCAATTGTCCCCCAAAGTTATTTTTATGATGTTAAGCTTCCTTGTCTAACTCTGATTCAACTAGATTCAGATAAAACCTACAGCACAGGTTATGTCTGGCTTTCTTTTGCCATTGCTTCTCTGACGGTGGCAAATGCCACAATTGCCACTGTCGTGATAGAGGTCCTGTGTCTATTCTGCCCCTTGTGAACAAGTCTCTAGCTTCAAGATGCAGGATTTCACCCTTCAGGGGGTGGACAGTGTCTCTACAATGTCTCTCTTTTGTTACAGTCATTGCTGTGTTTCTACTTTTTAACAAAACATCTAAGTTTGCCAATGAAGGCACTGCTCTGTTCTAAAAGCAATCACAAACCTTGTCTCACTGGCAACACTGAGCCTGGTCATTCAGTCTTGCAGCCCTGTCCCATGCACATGCTAGGTGGTGTCCCATGCACATGCAGGGACAGTCAAGTTGCAGATGGTGTCCTCCAGAGGCTCACAAGAAAGGTGAGGATGCAAGACGGACAGAAGTGTCTACGAAGATATACCAGACCCACCAGATGTCAGTTTTGATTCTGAATCTTGAAAGCACACTTGTCAAACATCCATCACAGGGCAAAATTTATTTCCCTATAACAAAAGTCTAGCCGATCCCAGTTCAACATGACACAGCAATGTGCTGAGGACAAATCACTACACAAATATTATCCTGGCTTCCATCGCTGAGCTGAAAGAGAAACCATCACAGTGCGAAATGGAAAGTATTCTTGTCAATGGCAGCTTGGGACAAATGTGCCCTTCCCCTCAGGTTGGGTGGAAGGGAAATCATAAAGAACAGGAGGTATAAAGAAAACACACATGCCCACTGGCTGGGATTCTGGCCAGGGGTCTGTTTCCCACAAGACAGAGCCAAAGGAGCAGCCCCAGGGCCACCAGGGCCACCCAGGTCCCCTGAACACCAAGGTTCTATTCCCAGTCCCAGGAAAAGGAACTTTGCTATGGCAGACAGCATTGTGCCACATAGACTTATTTCACTTTAATGCAATTTCACAAGGGGATTTTGGTTCAAAAGCAAAAATGCTATGAACATGTGTGAAATAAACTCCAACCTCTCACGGCCACATGTCCACAAACCTCTTAGGTTTCCCGATCTGCCAGTGGGCTGAACTGTGTCCTCTGACAGAGGGGCCCAGTGGGGCCTCAGGAATGTACCCTCTAATTCGTAGCCCTTGCTGGGAGTGGTGGTGCAGGCCTGCCTGTCATCCCAGCCCTTGGGAGGCTGAGACAGGAGGACCCCCATGAGTTCAAGGCCAGCCTGGGCTACATAGTGAGTGCAAGGCCAGCCTGAACTACATATTGAGACCGTCTCAAAACAAAAAACAAAAACATGCCACCTTAGCACAAGGTCCCCACTGACAGTTCCCAGGTGGGCACTGAGTGTGACATCCCTTGGCTGCTTGGTCCTGGATTTGTCACCCAGGCTGGCCAGATGTCCTGCATGTGAGCTCCCTCCCTTCGTCCAGTACAGCCAAGGAACATCTGCCCCGTGATGTTAACCAGGTACTTGGGACAGTGAGTAAGATTCCCTGGGAGTCAGGATAGGTCAGGCTTTGCTGTGGTGACCACCCCACAATTTCAGCAATTTGGTGGCCAAGGGCCTCGCTCTCTCTGAGTTCACCAAACACCGTAGGGCCACATCATCTGTGCCTGACCCTGCTCTCAAAAAAAGCGTGGGGCCAACTGTGTCCTGGCTCTGAAGCCAGCAGGGCCACAAGGCCACCCCAAATGTCTGTTGCCGAGGCAGAATGGCAGAGATGCTGAGTGGGATGAGGCAAGAACATTTGCAGGCCCTTCCTCCAGGCTGAAGCCCTACAGCCCTTTGCCTGCCTTCACTGTTTTTTTCCGAGATCCCACTTAAGCACTCAGTACCTTTTCCAACGCCTTCTCAGGCATCTGAACTTTTCTGAAAACACCCAGCACAAACTTGAGCACATCCAGGCAGAACACACCTCGTTTATCAACCCTGTTTAAAAGCTCTCTTGCCAGAGAATAGTAAAACCCAAGATCACACATTGTACTTAAGTATCATTATTATTATTCATTTTTTTCCTGAGACAGGGTCTTGCTATGGACAACAAAGTCTGCTACCCAAGCTGGTGTCTTGAACTCGTGGGCTCATGTGATCCTCCAGCCTCAGCCTCCTACGCAGCCAGGATTACAGGTGCACAACACTACATCCAGCTTATTTAACTACTATGGATGGATGTCTCGCTAAAACATATTACATACACTTCTATTTTTAAATGAAATAAAGCACAAACAATGCAATAGCATGAGCGTGGATGGTGCCTTCCTTCCCAGCAGAGGACACTGAGGGAGTCATGATGAACATGTGCTGCTGCACTTTGTGCCTCTCAAGTTCCCAGCTCTGTTCTGCATTTGAGTGTCCACTGGCCCCACTTCTGCAGATTCGAGTGCACTTGGTCTCCAGCAGCAGAAGGCTTACCATGTCTCCAGGAGACCTCAAAGTGCCGCCAGGGTGAGGACCACTGTCTTAACAAGAGTGGTCACTATAGGTGGCATGTGACTATGCTGATGTCACAGCAAAAATCCCAACTGCCCCCCAACTTCAACTGGCTCTTTCCATGGAGCCCCTGGTTCCCACTGTGAGCTTGATGCCCTGTCTGCCTGGTACAGCGGCTGTAACGCCACTGCCCAAGGCTGCCAACCTCACAGGTTTGCTCCCGAGAGCTCCTGGAAGACAACAGAGGGACCTGCAGTGACAGCCAGGTAGGACCCCCACAGCCACGTGCCTGGCAACAAATGATCCCTGCGTGCTCACCATGGAGCTGAGTGCCACTACCCAGGGCTCATTTCAGGGCTTCCCACGCTCCCTGCAGTCCTGCCCTCCAGCCCGTGTACCCACTGCCCTAGAGGACGGGGACTGGTGACGCTCAGCACTGCAAGGGACCCACCCGCAGCTCTCTGGGATACAGTAGGATCCTGCAGCCATGGGTCACACAGACAGTGCAGGAGGACACCAGCAAACTTGGAGTAGACACATCTAGTCACCCCTCCTATGGTCATGTCAGTAGGTGGACCCACAAAGCTCCCTTCCTGAAAGGGTTAAAGATATCACATTACAGTGATCCATGCACATCCATGCTTATAGTAGGACAACTCATAATAGCTAAATCTTGTAAGCAGCCTATAAGTCCGTGGACAGATGAATGGATTAAAAATGTGGTATTTACACAAAATGGAGTACTAGTATGTCACAAAGGAGGAAAATCTGAGGCATTTCTAGGAAAATGGATGCACCTTAAGACCATAATGTTAAGTGAAATAAATCAGATATACAAGCTTCAATATCTCATGGTTTCTCTTATATGAGAAACCCAAAGTATAAATAAATTAAAGAATAAAATAAAAGAGAATAGGAAGTAGGAAAATAGAGGATTTGCTAATGGGAAGGGGACTAAGAAATGGGGGGTAGCAGAGGAGGATAAGAAAAGAACTGAGTGTGTTCCGTGCATGCACCAACTCCCCATGACAAATGGAATCACCATGCACTGCAAACATGGACTCATAAAAATAAAACTTTTTTAAAAAAAGCGCCATGCAGGGCAAAGACGCTGTGCTCACCCCCAACCCCAGGATCTCCCTCGCAGGCTGAAGCTCTCAGGCCAATCCAAAGCTGCTAATGAGCTGCCCCCATGTCCCTCGCCCCCTCCACCCAGCCCAGGAAGAGAGTGGCTGCTGAAGAGCACCAACCCCCACCTGCCCACACCCAGTACCCCCCATCAGAGTCCCCAGGAGGCTATCGGAGCAGAGGGTGCTGATGCTGTCGAAAAGACATCATGACCTAAATAAGGAAGGGACAAGAATATGAGAGAGAAGCACCTCACTGAGTCCCAGTCTGCTGCTCTTTATACCCCTGCATCACAATGCCATGTTCAATAAAGCCAAGCTGACAAACCTTTAAGACAATCAGACAACACATATTTAAATGACCCTCCTCCCACAGCACTGAAGGTGACCTTCAAATGTGTGCCACCAAGGTGGGACACCGCCTGGCTCACAGGCATACTGAGTGACCACAGCTGTGTCTCTCACGTGGACATGAAGCAGAGCGAATTTTCTAACTAGGAACTGCACTATACTCTGGTGCAAGGCATTCAAGACCCTCTGGCACCTCTGTAAGCCATGCACCTCCTTTGGTTCTGGGATTGCTATCACTTGTACCCAGGAGCAGCGTTGCAGCCAGGGGTCCACCAGCCAGAGCCCCTTGCACCAGGAAACACATCTACCATTCGGGTCTTTAAAGGTCACACCTACCATCCGGGTCTTTAAAGGTCAGCGTGATGAACTTGCTCGCCACCATGAACATGAAAATCACCCAGAAGCATGCGGCCAACAGGAGCCACTGGTGGTGCATGTTGTCACACATCAGCCATTCAACAATTCTTCCTGGAAAACACAAGCGAGATGCCTCTGCTACTTACAAGCAAATCACTTCAGCAAAACGCAACAGGAAGAACAGGTGAATTCAACGAACAGAATCAACACAAACACTTGCACTGTCTTCCCTTTGCTCCAAGGGGTATTTTGGCTTGGCATTTCGTTTAACATTTCATATTTCATTAATGATATTACAGGATTCATTTAGTAATTAGATCAAATTTGAAACACCTCAGTGGAGGGGCGATCAAGAGGGAAGGCCATGCCTGTTTCTTTCTGGAACCCAGGATGAGATTTTTTTCTCATACATTTGCCTGCTGGGTCTTGTCTGGCCCAGGCCAAGGCCACCACACGGGTCCAGAGCCAAGTGGCCTCTGGGCATCTGCCAAGGACTGGATCTTCACTCAAGGTAACTTGAAGAGGCAGCACCCCACTGAGGCAGTGCTAAGCAAGCTGATTAAGACTCTCACTGGCTGCCAGGGTGCAGACACACCTACAGAATCTAAAAAAAGCAGCCAGGTATGGTGACACATACCTGTAATCCCAGCATTCCAGGAGGTGGAGACAGGAGAATTGCAAGTTTGAGCCCAGCCCCAGCAACACAGAGAGTTAGTGAGACCCTGTCTCAAAAGAAAAAGTTAAACAGCAGAGCTGAGTATGTAACTCAATGCAACTGGGACTTGGGTTCAATTCCCAGTACCAAAAATAAAAATCAGGGAGAGAAACACCTGTGCTTCTCACTTCGGTTCATTTGCCTGCACAGGCCTGGGCAGAGCTGTGGGGTTGGGCATTGTTCATGACCTGGAGTGACACAGGGCACACTGGCCGGTCCTCAGTCTGTCACAGAAGTCACTCTCTGTAGCAGCTGCAGAGGACACAGATGCACAAGAAGGAGAAACAAGGGTGCTTCCCCTACACAATGCTTCTTCAAGCCAGACCATGCAGCTAAAGACACTGCTGGGCTGATCACGTCGTCTGACTGAGGCTGGCCATCCCTCCTGGGTAGGACAACTGTTCTCCACGCAGTGCTGATGGCAGATGACCTTAGAGACAGTTCTTAACTGTGCACAGTCAGGCTCAGCAAGGACCCAGAGCAATGACTCTCACTGGAATCCAGCGTCTGAAACCCAAATTCTTCCCCCCACACCAACAAAGTGGTTCTCTAGCTTCAGCTGAATGTAACCTGTGACAGGGAGCTCACCACCTGCCAAGCTGTCTGTGCCCTTGCGGGGTGTCTTGAAGGCCACCCTCCAGTGCCCACATATTAGGCCTGGTGTTTCCTGGAGCCCCCACAGGGAATTACCAGATTAAACAAGGAAAAATGTGGAACACCCAGTTATGTTTAAATTTCAGGTAAACAATTTTAGTGTATGTCCAAAATATTCCATGAGATACTAAAAAAGCTATTTGTTATTTTCTGAAATTGAAATTTAACTGAGTGTCCTGTAGTTTATCTGGTTTATGTGCAACATCACCCAGCAAGGGGCTCGTAACTGCCCCTCCACCTGCCAAAGCCAGCTGTCCTGGCTCTGTCCCCAGCCCTCCTAAGGGCAGCAAAGCATCAAGTGGGGAGAGCCAGTGCTGGTTCAAATCACCACTCACTGGCTCTGTGACTTGGCCCCTGTGTCCCATCTGTGATGCAAAACCTTCATCCTCCAAGGTGACCAGGAGGAGTAAACAGGACCCTGAGGTTGAAAGGACCAGGACCACGGGCTGTAGCAGACCTTCAGTGAATGATCTGGGTCAGTCCCCCGGCACCTTTGTGACTTCCTGTTTAATCTATAGCCTTCTAAGTGTGGTCACCAGACATGACCACAGCAGTGTGGTGTGCCCCAAGAAAGAGAGGAAAAGAAAGAGGGAGGGAGAGCAGGGGAAGGGGACGAAAAGGAATTGAGATGTGTTACATACACGTACCAACTCCCGACAATGAGCGTGATCATTACATACTGCAAACATGTGCTAAGAAAAATAAAAACTAAAAGAAAAAAAACAAGATTCCAGAAATGGCCCACTTTGCTTGTGTTATGTCTCAGAAGTCTCTGTAGATGGACAACAGTGCTTCTCTATCTTTTACGACATGGACTTATTAACATGTTCACAACAGGGTCGTAATTCACGTCCTGGTGCCAGGTGGCTTGGACCACCAGTGGTACGTGCATGACTATCCCATCAGGCAGCTTTTTATTAATTTTATTAGCAAAAAGACTGATAAAAGTGATTAGATCCATTTATCCCACCAGAAGTACAAGCAGCCAGAAGGGACAGTTGTGCATGTACCCTTGGTGGTGCAAGCTAGTGGGAATGTGTTAAAGAAACCAAGCTGAGTGACTGATAGAAAAAATAAAAAGTACAACATTTTAAAAATCCAAATTATATATATGTACCCTAGCATTTTTCTTTCTGCTGTTTAATCATTTCAACCTCATGGCCACCAGCTATAGTTTCGTTACCACTTTATATAGTGTGGGGAAAAAATGGTAAAACCTTTCTAGCCAGGAAACAATGGGGTACACTGACAGAGCTGATATATCTTAGGGTTTAACAAAAATACCTCTCACTTCATTATTTCATGGTTTCTAAAATGGATGATATATTTAAGCATAAAGTGCAGAGAATAATAAATACCTGGCTGTATACACTCTGCTGTAATGGTTTGACTGCACTTCCTTGGATTTTTTAAAGGAAACTTAAGCGTCATAAGTATGAGGGGCTCCTGCACACTATCCGCCCCATTGGGTGGTGGGGCTGTCACTGCATCAGACACACACCTCTGGCAGAAGCAGCTGGCAGTTTTTCCTGTGCAGATAAAGGCAGGGCAGAGGGGGGCGGTGGAAGGCAAGTTCACCCACAAGCAAACGCTATATGTGGCTATTTCCAGAGACGTCCACACCGGGAGTAAGACCCCGGGTGAAGGGTTAGGCAATATTTCAGCACTTAGCTTTTTTTCTCTCATGATCTAAGTGAGTAAGTGAAAAAGCTGTCAAGATAACCTGGTCAAAAATTTATAAAAATCAGGGCTTGCTTTCTAAGTCACATGCAATGGGTGCCAACCAGACAGAACCAGGGAAACTAGAGCTTAGCTCTTTTCAAAATACCTACTTCTCAGGTCCTGTCTCTGTGCAGCTTACAACATACACCTCTCAGACACAACCAGGTGTACAGATGCACACAAGTTTAAGGCAGGATGACCTCAAAGTTCCCCATGAAAACATGCATCCATTCGTGTATCCAAGAGAACAGCTGTCAGGGCACAACAGTGAGTCCATACCACACACACACTCAGATCCTGTCCTCACAGAGCCTGAAATCTAATGGGGAGACCCATGGAATCCAAGAGTTCATCTGAGACATGGTCCACAGCAGTAGGAGAGGGACACAGCCCTATGAGAAGAAAGCACAGGGAGGTGTGACCTGGCAAGAGGGTGGGGACAGCAGATGCCCAGGGTGAAGGGGCACGGGGCCAGGTCTAGGGTACGGGCCTCTGTGTAACTCAAGGAGGGTCTGTGGGGCTGGAGTTTCAGTGTAGGTTAGACAGCACCAGGTCTTGGAGAGCTGCCATGGATTGCAGTCTTCCCCTTGGCCACAATGGAAGCCACTGCAAAGGGTTTTACAGGAAGTGGGGTGGTGATGTGGTGGTCTGCTCTTAAATTTGGATGTGAACTTCCCTGGCAGCAGTAAAAAATGCAAAGAACAAGTCTGGCATGCAGGTGGACATCTATAATCTCAACACTCAGGAGGCTGAAGCAGGAGGACTGCTGTGAGTTCAAGACTAGCCTGGCTCATTGTTACCCACGGAGAAGGAGGGTATATTCTAATCAGGCTCAGGCACAGCTGACAAGGCGACCACACCCCGCATCCTCGCCTACGTCTCTGGGAACCAGTGAACGAGCTAGGAAGACTGGGGGATTCTGGAATGTGGGGTTTGGATGGCTCCAGAAGTGTATCTTGCTCACCCAGTGTGGTCTGCTCTAGCTTTGCTCTCATTCTGAATCTCTACATCTACTTGCCGGTGCCTGACCCAAGGTCCTTCACCCTGGCCATATGTGAGTTACCCAGGAAGCTTCAGACACACGCCCGGCGATGCCCTGGGCCCCAGAAATACCCCAGCCAAGATGGCCCACATCCCCAGGGGTGTCCCCCAGGCAATCTTAAAATCTCTGCACAAACCCCAGAGCCTTGCCTGGGACTCTCCAGCCTTCTCAGCTTCCACTGCCCCCAGAACCCATGGCTCTGGTTAAAATGCAGGCGCCAGGCATGCCAACATAATAGCCACTCGCCCACCTCCGCCTCCCTCCCTTTTCAGAAGAACTGGCAGCAAAAGCACATCCAGCCCACGAGAGTCTACAGACTCACTGAACCACATGTGTTCTGAATAAACAGCTTAAAGAGGTTTAATTAGAATCTAAGCCCTTTCAGCTCTGCCCCCATTTCACTTTCTCCCCTACCCCTGCCATCCATGGATAACTAACTATACTACAGAATTAGGGCTTATCCAACTGTGGGGAAAAAACTCTCCACTATAATCTGCCCCATTTTCTAAACAAAAAGAAAAGCATTCCAAACCCACCAGCCCCAGCTCCTCCAAGCCACCCCACCACTCTGCCTTGTGTCCTTGAACACCAAGTTCTCCATGAGGCCAGAAGGCTGATATGGACACACACAGTTTTTTCTCCAGGGCTCTGTTCAAGGCTGCTGTTCTCCCCAAAGCCAGAGTGACAAATGGCTCTTTAAAAGCCTGACATTTTCTGTAATTAACTCCCCTTTGTTCAAGCAGTCAAGACAACTCCCACAGCAGACAGGGGAGGCACACCTGAGCCTACCCCTACTGTATCCCCTCTGGTCACAGTGTGTGGGTCCCCCTGTCCCCAGGGGAGGGGGCACATCCATCTGTGGAGCCCTCCCTCTTTCATTCATTAAACGGGACCTCAAGATGTCACAGTCTGATACCAGAGAGTTGGCTCTTTGAAATCCCTTGAGGCAGAGCTGGGGAAAGAAGGATCAAGGAAGCAAGAACATACTGAACCTATTAGAAGCCCCAGCCTCTTTTCTCTCCCTCAAACAAAAGAAAATGGAAAACATTGGCATGTTTATAACTCTAACAATGTCTACATGGTACTACTGCCATCTTTTGATGCAAACCCTCCCTCCCCTGCATTCTAAAAAAGACGTTGTAAATTTATTTTGCTCAGCTGTCTAACGATCCCGCCAGCAGCTCTTTTGCCCTTGTTTGAGTTGTCGTCCAGAAGCACAAAGCATTTCCTACTATGTAGGCCCTGAAGAGCTGGATGCCACCTAGCACCTTGCCTTACTTTTCATATGCATACTGGTTTAGCAAAGATTTTGAAAAGCCCTGTGGGGAAAAAAGCTCATTTAACGGTCTAAACAGGCCTCTCCCCAGGCTGGTCATTCATTTGGCAGGAGCCTACCCAGAGCTCCAGGGCCATTACCCTCTCTCCTGCTCTCCTCCTGCTCTCCCCCTGCTCTTGGAGCTTCTAACAGAGGGAGACAGGACAGAAAGAAGTGGAACAGAGGAAGGGCACGAACCCTGCCGGAGACCTGGTCTGGGTCCTAAAGCAGCACGGAGACCACTGTGCCTCCTGCAGCGTGAACAAAATATGGGAAGAGAGGGGTTGCAGGAGGAGTCCTGCAGACAGCCCTTCACTGCAAGGAAAACATGTTACCCCTCATCACACACACACCCTGGCCCTCTCATATCCAGGCTCAACTTTAAAAACACACCCAGCTAATACAGGAGACCCCACACAAAACAACTCAGCAACGCACAACAGTCATCCTGGAAGGACTTCAAGGGAGAAAGGAAACAGACCCAGACCTCTTTAAATTCATGTCACTAAGATTTTTAACCCTTAATCGGGAGGGTTTCTGTTGATTTAAGATCAGAAATCTCTTTTGTCTTTTCTACTGCTGCCTTTCCAATTTACTGCCTTGGGATGATGGGTCATCCTTGGTTAGCAGAAAGAGAACACATTCCCAGCCCAGTCCAGGGAGGAATCCACCTGCAGTTAGGAAAGATTCTCGTGATTAAGCACAATAATGTACAGCCAACACCTATACAGGCTCACTGAATGTGGTAGTGGTACAGACTTACTCCAGCCTGAGTGTGTGCCCCTGTTGTTATAGTTAAGAAAACATTTCTAAGCGTCTATGTACATATTCCTACTCGAGAGTCCTGAGTTCCTAAAATTTCTACGCAAGCAACAAAGGAGGCAGCAAGGATACTGAATAGCACTAGCTCAAGTAACTGGGAAGCTCCCACTCTCCTTCCTTCCCTTCTGATGTGAGGGTCCCATTTACTTGCCGAATTCGCTCTCCCTGAGGATCTTGGCTCCTCTTGTCACTGCACAGGGTAATTAAACACAGCAGTGAGCATCACACACAGGTAGACGGTCAACTTTCTTGGGTTATATTTGGGAAAACTATTGACCACTCTGATCACACAAGTGTATTTTGCAAAACAAGTCTCTTAACCAAAGCAGAGGACATTTGGGTTTCTTGGTATATGAGTAAATACTCTAAATGTATTAAAAGAGTGATGTGTTTAAAAGTCCTTCATGCAACTTAGTTTGGTATTTTTGTAGCAAAAATAATCAAACCCTATTCTGTTTTCCAGGTTTGCTACTGGGTACAGGATTCCTATACGAGATTACCAGTTATCCCAATGCAGGATGTTCTCTGGGTTTGTAGTCCTGGAAGCTTTACACCTGGTAGATTCTAGACAGGTGGATGAATAAGTGGAAAGAAGCCAAACTCATGGAATTAGATTACAGATTTGACAGGGTGAGCTAGCAAAATAAGCATACAACTCCCTTTATTCCAAAAATTGATGCTAAAATTAAAAGCAATTTCATGTTATGCAGCTGGACGACTGAACATTATACACTCTCACGCACATTATTCCAGACCTGCAGGAGGAAAAAAGCTCTGCCAGCCCTGCAGTCTCCAAGGTCTTGCCTTCACCTGTCTCCTCTATACTTCTAGCTCTCTCCCACCTTCTCACTGTACAACCTCCTTAAGCATTTAAAAAAGGTCTGCATATGACTGCAAGCTGCCCAAGATATTTAAGAATTCTTTCTTTGTTCGGTCTTCCAAGCCCTCTTATTTTTATATCAGGGAAAGAGAGAACGCTCCCTCAGGTATTTCTTTAAGATTCTATTCTTCAGAGTCAAGAGCAAAGATGGAGAGATTTGTCTTCCCGTCATTAAATCCCAATTCTGAGCCAAAATGGACTACGTCCCAATTCTGTGACAGAAAAGGGGGAAAAGTCTCTTAACCCAGTCACATAAAAAGATGAAGAGGTACATGGCTGGTGACCAGCAAGCCAGAGCTAAACTGAGTTGCCTAATTTTAAGACTGACTGAGAAATTTCTCCCTCTGGCAGTTAAAACTGACCAGTGCAATAACCCTATTCCTCATGGCCCAAAACTCCAGACTTTGGGTGTTGCACACAAATAAACCTTTATGACAGTACCGCCACTCAACTACCCAGGACCTGGCTGGACTGCTTCCAGTCACTGCCCTGCCCTTTCCTGCCTTGAGCAGACTTGGGGAACAAAAAACGACAGCATTCGGACTTGCAGCAATTGATGCCTCGACCTGCAACTTCTGCCAGGCATCGCCACTGTGAGAGTCAGAGGTTGAGCAGGTCGCGGAGCCCGTTTGGCAGGGACTTGCGTCTCCAGCCCCGGGCGCCCACCGCAGCTGAACTCTCGGGTAGATGCACCGTCTGCTTCTTCCCTGCCCTCTCCCAGCAAGCTCTCTGGACCCAAATGGGGCCTCTTCCTCCTCTCTGTGCCCCAATGACAAATACAGATTCTCAGATCAGCAGGAGAGAAGTCAATGATGGCTGGTCCAGGGGTCAGTAATTCCACCCATCACAGCATCCCGCACAAGGGCGCCTCCTAATTGCATAATTATGGGACGAAGACTTCCTTTGCATCCCTAGATCCAGGAGGTCCTTCTGTAGCCTAAATGGGACGGAAGGTTGCTCCTACCCCGATCCCGGCCACCTGGGGTCGCAGCCCGCCCCAGCCCCATGCAGGTACTCAGCTCACCTCCGCGCCGGGCTTCTCCCGGGAGGCTCCGCTCGGCGTCGCCCAGCTTGAGCGCGCGGCGCGGAGTTCACGCGTCCCGTGAGCGCGGGAGGCCCCGCCGGTGCCAGGGAGGACGCGGCGGCCGCGCCGGAAGGAGGAAGCCTGGCCCGCGACGCCGGTGGGGGGCGAGGCTACCGCCGCCCTCCGGGCCGTGCGCGCCCCCGCCCCCGTTCGCGCCCCGAGCGCGCGCCCCCGCCTCCCGGCACGCTCCGCGCGCGTAGTGGGGAGGGGAAAGAGGAGAGGCCTCGCCGGCGACTGGAGCGCTAGTCCTGCGCGCCGTCCTAGCGCCTCCCTTCCTGCGTCCCAGAGCGCGTTGGGCTCTGGAAAGTCTCCATAATAAAATCCAAAGCTTAGAAAAACGCAAGAAACAGATCAATTATTATTATTTTAATTTCAAAGTTGGACAAAGGATACATTGAATAGGGGGGTTACCTCACAAACCTGTATTTCCCCGCCTCTGGTTTCTTAGCAGGATGGGAGAGTTGAGAGGACCTGCAGGGACTTCTTGAGCCCTGCCTAGGATGCGGGCCTGATTCCAGCCCTCGGGCTCCAGGTATTGTTTTTTTAGGGGCCAGCTGTCCCTGTGTTTTAAGACAACCTTTACAGCGTTGGCGCTGATCCCTCCTCCTACTCGTCCTAGGTCCCAGGCTTCAGGGTTGAGTTACAGCAGGACATTCACATGGACAACTGTTGGCATTTGATGTGTTGTGGTTTTTATCTGTATGTACCCCTAAAGCCTCACGCTCATAGGTGGGGCTTTGGGGGAGGTGATTAGATCATTGGGGTGTGATGCTTATCAGTGGATTAGTCCCCTGATGAGTTAATAGCTAAATGTGATGTTAGGAGGTTAAGCCTGGTCAAAGGAGGTGTGTCACTGGGGCCGGCCTGGAAGGGTTTATCACCCTCCTCCTCCCTTGATCTCTCTCTCTCTGCTTCCTGCCTACCCTGGTAGGAGCTGTTTCTCGTCTTCCATGCCTTTCTGCCATGCTGCCCTGCCTTGGAGCCAGACGACTATGAACTTAAGCCTCTACAAACTGTGAGCCAAAATAAACCTCTCCTCCTTACAGTTGTGGGTATTTTGAGCCTCAGATAAGACAGTAACTAAGAGAGCATGTCACCTGAGCTCAGCTCCATGGTTCCTAACAACATGTATTGCCATCCTATCTTGATGAAGATTAATAGTGGCCTCCAGTTTTGCTAACAGATTTGTTCTGAAAGGGGAACTGGGCACTCAGCAACATCAGAAGTGAATGTTTTAAAACCTTTACACCAATTGCACCCACCAGAGACTAGAGAAACCCTTTCTTAATGCCGCTTTATGCTACTTTCTTTCCTGGATGGAGTGCCCTTTTTGGTAGTCAACATAGAGTATGTGGTTTAGTACCAAATAAATGCTCAACTTTCTTTCCAGCTGTGTCTAAGGTAATCTGGGGCTCCTTAGAGGATATCAGGATCATATCAATCTTTATCTTCTATGAATGAAAACGTATACTTTGGATTGGTCCTCTGCCTCCCCTCTCTGGGGGCTTGGGTATTTCCTCCTCCAGTATTGCTCTTGCTTACAAAGTGCACATGGTTCTGTCCCCACTTTGGTGGTGGCTGATGGCTCCTATGTTAGAGGCCAGGGTTCCTCACCAGTGATGGCTTATGTCTTACCCCTAAGTTACCTGGAGTAGACTGGAGGGTGCCTGCCACCAGGGCAGCCTGCTTCCCATCTTTTATCTTTTCTCACTTTCAGCCACAGTCTGTGCAGTTTCCACCAGTTAAAAATTAGTCTTAGGACCCACAGGCAATTTCTTGGCATCTCTGGGTATCAGGAGGGTTCTGAGATGTGACTATGTATCAGGGTATTGTGGATGACAAATGATGACTGATAAAAGTGCGAACAATTTATAGGTCTACAGACTTGTAACTTCTTAACCTGCTAAAATGTGTAAAGCCTTAGAATTTTTAAGACTGTGAGAGAAGTCATTGCCAAAAGTATTGGGGTTTTACATCCATTATGAAAGTAAACTAGTTTTGTTTTGCTCTAACCTGCATGTTACTTAACTATCTAACTATATAGCTATTTAATAAGCAGATAAAAAAGGTATAATTGCATATATACAAATGCACAAACATATAAAATGTTCACCAAGCTTTTAAGAAACCAGTTTTGGGGTTTATATGCATTTTTTGTCATCTCTGTTGGTTCCTTTATTGAGTAAATGTTACCAGGCTCAGTGAGAACTTCACTTGTAACACCAGTGCTAACTGTCATGGTTTAGAGGTGGTAAGATGATTCACTCCATCTTTCTCCCCTCTCCTTCCATTCAGAAGATGTTTATTTGAGCCATTTCTTTGGAAACTGGGGCTGGGATGAGAGATTTATTTTCTCTTTGAAGACTTAAATGGACAAACATATGTGGGAGAAAAATCAATAAGTAAATTTAGATCTTAGATGGAGCATAGCATAGCATATTATTTCAGGATTTAAGGATCCAAGCTCTGAGAATCAGATCGCATGGATTCATATCCTTTATGTAAACTGAAGTTCTCAGAACAAGATGCATCTTATTAAAGGTCCTGCAAACTGTGTGACCTTGGCTGTCCACAACATTGTGATTATAGATGGATGGAATGTTGAGAGCCAAAATGATCTTGGGCTTAGTCTCTTTAACAGCCATTTTTTTTCAACCTGGGTGTTTGACCTAGCATCCTGGTGACTATTGAAATATATCACTAAGTGTAGCAGACCCTTAGTCTTCACCAACCCACAAGCTATGAATGCTGGGTGATAACATCAGAAGCCTGGAGAAAAGATGTCGGTTTTGCTTGTAGCCCATCTATCTGATGTTCCCACCATGCATTTATTGAATGTATTGTCTTAAGACTTTCTTTTCTTCTGTGGTTATGAAAGTTCATGTCCTTCAGGGCAACACGAATTCATGTCCATGGTCCCTTATATTTGGCTCAGAATAAACCATTTTAAAATTTTCCTTTAAAGCAGAATCATTATTTTACCTCAACATTATTCATCACATAGGGAAGGTATTCATTTTAGATTCTAATAGCAGGAATAGTTCTCAAAGTGTGATCCTGGGACCTTTTGGGAGTCTCCAAAATCTTTTCAGGGGTTTTGCATTGACAAACCTACTTTCATAGGAAGAGTAGGGTGTTATATATCTTGTACTGTTTAGACATTTGCTCTGGTGGTTAAAAAAAAAAAGAGCTGTGGGTAAAACAGATGACACAGGAAGACTCCCAGTGTTACTGGGATGACAGGGTTGTGTCCCACAGCGTCGAGGAGTGAAACTGTGGACAGAGGAAACAGAGTGAAAACAAATTTATTTAAAAGCTATAAAGGCAAGGAAGTAAAAGATATAAAGACAAGGAAGTAGATCTCCTGCTAGCCATGACGGGGTCCTGAGTACGATACTCAAAGAAGCTGCTTGTCTAGGGGTTTTTAAGGGGTTTAGAAATGAGCTCGGGCAGTGTGTAAGCAATAAAATCTCCACCCTATAGGAGACTGCATACTTTTCAGGGTCCGATCTATGCAGTGTCCATACAGGGCCCATGCACCCTTGAGCCAATTCTTGGCCTGATCCTGCTCTGGGGAGGTCCCAGACATCCACAGGATGCCTGGCAGATGTTTTCGTAAGGTCCTTAGAGGATCCTGGCTCAGCACACTCCTTTTTGGGCTTCCTGACTCCATCTTGGGGCCACTGTCCTTATTGCCTAAGAGAATCTTAACTTTTATCTCACTAATTCCTGTTACACTAGCAGCAAACCAAAACTGAGTACCATTTTATCTTTTACCTCCATACACTTGCAGTAAAAACAAACAATCAGTATCACTGAGAATGTCCTCCAGAAAACATTCATACCCCTTGTAAAAGACAAGAAAGGGCACATTCTCCTGCTGCATACCAAAAGTTGGTGGTTGCCTGGAGGCAAAGCTCTTGAGCAATAGCTTGCAATGCAAACAGTTCTTTTATGGAGCACCATTTTTCTTTTTCCTTCATTCCCTCCTTTTTTCTTTTTATAGAAATGACTCAGATTTATCCTTTTTTATGGCAGAGTGGTCCTCCATTGTGTGTAAATACCATATGTTTTTATCCAGTCATCTTTTGATGGAGATACAGGTTGCTTCCAAGATTTAGCTATAAGCTAGTTATGCCATAAGCATGAGTTGTGCTGCCATAAGCATGGATGTGCATGGATCACTGTAATGTGATGTCTTTAACTCTTTTAGCAAGGGAGCTTTGTGGGTCTACCTACTGACATGGCCCTAGCAAGGGTGACTAGATGTGTCAGTGCCAAGTTTTCCCTGATGTCCTCCTGCACTGTCTGTGTGACCCATGGCTACAGACTCCTGGTACATCCCAGAGAGCTTCGGGCAGGTCCCTGGTGGTGCTGAGGGCCACCCAATCCCCACCCCCATCCTCTCAGATGTATGTATCTGGTGAACAGAATGATAGGCAAGGAGAATTTTCTGCTAAACATCAGGAGATGTGATTCCCATTCTAGCCTTGCTGTAGACTCTGATGAATCACTTAACTTTTGGAACCCAGTTAGTTTTCTAATAGAAAATCAGCCTGGTATTTTGTTTTTTGGTGGTTTTTTTCCTAGTCCTCCCTTCACCCCCTCCACCCTTCCCTATTTACAAAGACTTTATTTCCATTTTTTCCATTTCTCATCATGTTTCCTTTCCCTTCTTTCCTTTCCCCTGACCCTCCCACTACCCCTACCCTTTTGGACCTTTTCTTCCTATTTTGCATTCTCGATTATTCATTCTAATCATTGGTACATTTTAGGTATACAATAGAATGACATTCATCATTGGAAATTTGCGCCTTTACATAGTCTCTCTTGGTTCTTATTTTTCACCCTTGCCCAGCCCTCCCTTCAACCCCTCCAGTCCTCCCTATTTACTAAGATTTTGTTCCTATTTTTCCATTTTCTCATATTAATCCCATTCCCTTCTATCCTTTCCCCTAGCCCTCCCACTTCCTTCCCCTTTGCCCCTTTTCTTCCTATTTCACATGACCTTTTATATATTTTAGTCCTTATTTACACTTTCAGTTTCTCACACCAGAGAAACTATTCGGTATTTATACATGTGTGTCCTATTTATTTCACTTAAGAGTATTGCCTCAATGTGCATCCACTTAGCTATAAATGTCTCTAATTTCTCATTTTTTATGGCTGAGTAGTACTCCATTTTATTTAAAAAACCACATTTTCTTTATCCAGTCTCCAGTTGATGGGCATTTGGGCTGTTTCCAAGTTTTAGCTATCACAAACTGTGCTGCTATGAACATGGGCGCACATATATCACTGTGGTATGATTCTTTTAATTCTTTGGGGAAGATCCCCAGCAGGGGAATAGCGGGGTCAAATGGGAATTCCAGTCCTAGTTCTTTGAGGTATCTCCATACTGATTTCCACAGTGCTTGCACCAGTCTACACTCCCACCAGCAGTGGAGCAGGGTTCCTTTCTCCCCACAGCCCTGCCAGCATTTGTTATTGGTTGATTTCATGATAGCAGCCATTCTTTCTGGAGTGAGGTGGAATCTCAGCATTGTTTTCATTTGCATCTCTCGAATGACCAGTGATGTTGAACATTTTTTCATGTATTTATTTGCTATTTCTACTTCTTTGTCTGAGAAATGTCTGTTCATTTCAGATGCCCATTTTCGGATTGGGTCTTTAAATTTGGGAGGTCTGATCTTTTAAAGTTCTTTATAGATTCGAGATAGTAGACCTTTATCTGAGGAAGAGCAGGTGAAGATTTTTTTCCCACATTGTGGGTTGTCTCTTCACACTGCTGGTGGTTTCTCTTGCTGTGCAGAAGCTTTTTAATAAGAACAGATCCCAGTTGTTGATTGTTTGTGCTAGTTCCTGGGCAACTGAGGTTTTGTTCATAAAGTCTTTTTCCTACACCGATGTCTTCAAGGGTTCTACCTGACCTCCAGCCTGGTATTTTGAATGACTGCTGCGCACCCTTCTAGCTCTAGGTACCTGTTATTCTGAGAAAACTGGCAGTCACTGGAG